CCCCCCCGCTGTCGTAAACCCTCCTCACGGAGGTCTCTCACCCAACCCGAACACCCCAAACCCCCCACAAAGGACGGCGGTAATAAAACGACACAGCGGGAGACACGCAGGGTTGCAGATTTCTGTATTAGTACAAAACATCGCGTCACACGCAGACGGCACACGCCCCCCTCCCCCCCGCCATGCCGGGGGCTCCGGGCAAGGACCCCGCGGTGCGGCCCAGAGATGCTCGGGAGCACCGGGAACTGCTCCGAAGGGAACGCAGGGCCGGGCTGGGCCTGCCACAGGACACCCAAAAACAGCGACGCTGGGGCACGACATCAACACAAGTCACGGTCAGCGCCCATCCAACACCCCGCAGTTCTCAAAATAAAAACACGGACAAGCCCAACGCGCTCCCAGGTCGTTCCTCTGGTCTCCATCTGAAACGTGGGAGGGGTGAGGAAACAGGATTTGTACACTAGCCTCTGCTCTGCTTTTCCTGCGTTTCTAAGAAATTAACCTGCTACCTCGGCCCTGCCTGTTTGGTATTTGCATAAGCATTTATATCCCCAGATGGTTTTTTTGTTTGTTGGTTTTTTGTTTCTTTTTGGTTTTTTGGTTCTTTTTTTTAACTTATCCTCTCTGACACTGACAGCCCTAGCTGCAGTTAACACAATTCTCCTTAGTTTTCCAAAGAACAATGGCAGCTACACTCATCTCATTTATTAATACCTCAAGGAAAACCTTTAGCTCCTCAAAAGTCAGGCTTTTGGAGTTAACATTAACTTCACAATATCAGCAGCCAGTACTTTAAAATAAAAGAATATTAAGCATCTCCTTTTGGTCATAGAGCAGAAAACCCCTGTTTAGCCACAATGATGTATCATCTTCAGAATAACTTAACAGTAAAGTAAATAAGCCTGCTGGATTGAACTACAGATCTTCAAAAAGATCTGCCAAAGAGCCACCCCTCTCCAAATCCTTGAAAGTGGATTCACAAAGGGAAAGGTAACTCCAAAGGATCCAGGCATCTCTGTCCAGCTGCACGCACAAACCCTGCACCAACTGCAACAAAAATCATCACTGGGAGCAGCATGGTGTCACTCATCTTCCTATGATGATGGGTGCTGGAGAAACACTAGTTCAGAAAAACCAGTCTAAAAAAGAATAAATCTAAAGTGCTTAAGGCAATTCTTCATATCCCCATTTACTAAAAACAACTGGACTAGATGTTAGCAGCAAAAATTTGACATCTGTGCAAACTATTATACAACAAATCCATCCTTTTAAGGGTAAAAAGTCACATGTTAAGGTACACCTAGGACATCAGTTAAACCAGAACTTGCAAGTCACAAGTCACAGTATGAAACACTCTCAAGCTTTTCTCTAACTAACTGTTAAAAGAAAAATTACATTTTTACATCGGTGCATATCAAATTCACCTTGCAGGTTACACTACAACTGGCTAAAAGGGGAAAAAAAAACCAACCAAACAAAAAAACATGATTTAAATGCTCTTGTAGAGGGCTGGAAAATACTCATGGTTCTCACTACACATTAGCTGGTTGTAAACATCCCCTTTCTTTCCACAAAGGGAAATCTGAAGAGGAACTGCAGCTGAACACCCAAGATCAAGACAAGTGGATGGGTGGTGAGGAGGAGGTGCCAGTCTGTCCTGATGTCTGTGCACCACAGCCCTGGACTAGAACTGGCTGCAAAACTGAGTTTGTAGCAATTTATCCCCAAGAACTCCTAGTCAGGTGTCCATTGCAGTAAAATGGAAAGAGGAAATATTATACACAGAGTATTTGCATAACAGTAACATCCGCAGATAATGTGTGAAACAGATTCAGACACTGTTGACCAAGAACCACGTCACTTCTGAGTATCTTTGTCCCAAAGCCCAAGCAACAGAACAGGCAGAAGAAGGTACAGTTAAACTGGGAAATGTTTTGTACTTTCCTCTGCAAAAAGAGATTACAAGTTCACAATGCGAATAACTAAGAGATGCCCAAGTTCCAGATACAAAATAAATATTTAGGGCTCAGCCAACCTGTCAACTTCATGATTCCTCAAGAAAAATAACACTTTCCAGAACAGGTAATTACATGTCCTTGTTAATCTTAACTTTTCACTGAACATCAAAGCCAGTTTATTAAGAATGTGCCTCAAGGAATTTCTCCTTCTCTTGAGAAATTGTGATGGACAGAAAGGAGCCATTGGTAATACTGAGGTTTAACATGATTAAATGTTCATGGTTTTATGGGCTAAAAGATACATGAAAGGAAAAAACTGTACTGGCCCAGCAGCAAATGAGCTAAATCATTATGGGCCATGAATTTTTAACATTTTCAGGTGATACCAGAAAACAATCTTCAGTTAGGAAACACCTGATTCAAGAGTGTACCTGAAAACTATTTATAGGCTCCACGGCTTGATTAGAGGGAAGAAAGCAGATTAAAAAAGCCTATAATAACCTGACAAGCTAGGATTTTCCACGAAGAATATAACATATTTTTTTTTTCTTTTTTTAGCTCTCCCATTACTATGAATCATTTGACTGCTTTTTTTTTCCAGGCTTGCAAATAGGAGTCAAGGTACTGGAACCTTTAAACATAATTTTCTAATGTAATTAGAATGCAATTAATATAAAGGTGACAAATGGGAGCCAATATCAATATACATGGCTTCAAAAAGGAGTTACCCATGGAAAACAGGAGGATTTTATACTACTGGGGGGAATAATCACAGCCCACTCTTACTGTTTCTTACTAGGCCTACACATTCTTATAATATCCTTCTAAAACCATGCTGCTGTGGTACTTTGCCAGGCTAGGCCAGCAAATCAGTCTGTTTTCAAAATCTCAGAAATCACAACTTCTAATGGGAAGCCTAGTAATAATTAAATACATAGTTAAGTAATTTGCATTAGGAGAGCTAAAAATTGTATTTGCTATATTCTTCATAGAAGAATAGCATCTGTAACAAAACTAATATTCAACTCTGTAACAAAATGCTTGAATACAGTATTAGAAAAGTACATAGTTACAGCTCTTGCTTTATCTTTTTTTTTTTTTAATAGGCAACAGTTCAGCTTTCTGACATTTTTCTGGATTCCCAGAACTGGTTCTTAACACTTTAGCCCCAGACCTTTACACTCTCAGTACCCAGGCCCTAAACAGCAGAAGGTAGCAAATCCAATAAAATCCAATGCTGACAAGCTTCTGTGAGTAGTAGCTACACAGTAAAACAAAAACATTCAGCAGTAGAAGTGTTGAACAGACATTACTAGGCAACATTATTTAGGCTGCTTGTTGAACCACCCAATCCATTTTCACTCTTCTGAAGAGTTTTCACGGCACTTGGCACCTGCAATCCCGTACTCACTGTGAGCCCACCACACCAGATCTGCAGAGGAAAAGAAAAAAAATCTGCATTAGGACCCAAACACATCTCTCTTCTCCCATCCCACAATTAATTAGCACAAGCACAGCTGCACGTCTTCTGTCACAGAACTCCGTAAAACGTTGTAATCACAGACATTCTATTTTTTAAGTCCATGAAATCTAAGATACTTCACATACTATGCTTCATAACTAAGTTTATAACTAAGACGCAGTACTCAAATCACTTGCTCCTAACTAGAAAAATTCTTTGAAGGTCAACGTGCCAGCAGCAAGTAGAGTGGCAATGAAAAGCAACTCTCTCACTATGCTCCACTAACTGAAAGCAGTGCTTATTTTTGCCATGTCACACAAAAGTTATGTCAGCATAAACATATTACCAAAAAAAATATTTGAGAAGCTTCAATGGCACAGACGCCAGTGACTTCTATTCTACACGTGAAAGAATGCTGTATTTTCATGTTTGTAAGTAAGTTTGAGAGCTGTAATTAAGTAGTTTGTCATTTTCACCTGTCCTGTTGAAACAGTAAGGCTGCTGTGACTCTGTGAGGGGCTGGCTATGTGAGGTGCAGAGGGACATCCTGAATTTTGGCAAACAACTGTTTCCCCAGATGACTTGGGAAATGAATTTACATAAGTCAGTCTCTGCTACGCTAGGGAATGGCTAATACATGTATTCCAGTAGTTCTGAAGCTATTTTTTTCCACCTATGCTGAAAACGATCAGCAAGGCAAACGAACAGTCATGAAAAAATCTAGACCTGTTAAAATCCCAGGCCTAGACACCCTGCTCCCAAAGTGTGATGCACCTGATGGCACCTTACAGCACATTTGAGGCCTCCGAATTTAGCTAAACAAACGACTTAAATCATTAAAGGAAAACTAATAGTAACTAATCCTTCTCCTGTGCATTTTGGGCAATGTCTGAACCTTTAACACTACAGAAAGTTGTTGCCAATTACCTTAGAGCAACAAAAAAGGTTATGCAGGGTACTGCACTGACTGGCAAGAAAATCCCACTGAGCTTTTAAAGATGTGAAAGCTGGAGACTTTTTTTTTTTCCACTGGAAAGCATTGGGGTGCTGTTCTGTTTCGTGACACCTGCTCTGACAGCTCAGAGCATCCTGGACTGCCATCAGTTTGGATCAGTTATGGCAGTAGGCTCATCAACCACTCCAATGTGCTATTAATTTCCTATACACGAATTTAATTACTTCTGTTTACATAGCTGAGACACCACTATAAGTACCACACAAAATCCAAAAGGAAAGAGTTGAACACTTTAAAAAATGACTAATCAGCCAAACCAAGTGCTTGCAGCTTCCTTCTTTAAAAAACAATTAAAACTGAATTCAGTGCTAGAAACAGCAAGATTTTATTGATACTGACCATGAAGCCTGGTAGCAATGGCTGGGTAAACTTTGTTCTGAAGGTGTGTAACAATGCCTTTGAGCTTGCATTATAAAATGAGAGCTGACCTAAGAGAGAGAGGCAGAGAGAGAGAACAAGTTGAAATTCAGCTTCAGCATAGTTTAAGCTAAGATGCTGTTGCTGTTAACTTGGATCAAAAAATGGCTTCTTTTCCAGGACACACTAAGAGCAGTCCACAAGAGTGAAAATGGACTATTTTCATCGAATTTCAGTACCTCTGTCACACAGATTAATTCAGGTCATTTGACATGACAAGCACTTAGGGTCTGTGCTGTCATGCAAGACTGGATCAGTCTGGAAGTAATGCACTCCTTCAGCCTTGGACTGCTCTAGCTTAACAGAAATAGCAAGTAACTGTTCTTACTAAATCTCCTAAAGTGAAATTTACCTCCATCAAAGTCGCAGTATACTCCTATTCTGTCTGGGACAGGTATATCTAGAGTCTTTGCTTTATTGTTATGCTTTGCTGAGAATGTGGTTTGCAGCCAGTTGTTGACATGGATGCACCAACTGGAATTAGTCTTTCCCAGCTGGTCAAACTTCCCCGGGTTTCTGTACGTTACTCCCACGCTGTAGGATTTGCAGTCCTTCTGGGCTCTCACTTCCCAGTAATGCTGTCCACTTTCAACAGCAGTGTCTCCTACCAACAGAAATATATTTAATTAAAACTGAGTGTAGTTAGTTACAACTGAGTATACCTTGCAGTGTTGCCTTATTAATAGGCACCAGTGACGTATTCTCTTTTTTAAGGTGAAGAAATCTGAACTATAAGGAATAAGAAATTTATACAATATAAAACAGAATAATGAGACTGTATTTACATTATGACAAGATATATTTAACACCAATTTATGTTTAAAAGCAGTGCATGTGAGTCACTAAGAACTCCGTAATACAAAGCAAAGTCGAAGACACAAAATTCTGGTGTTATATGGGCAAACTGATCCAGGCAGGGCGATGTTGAGTACACAGCCTTGAACAATCACAAACTTTCCCTCTGATTCTTACCTGATCTGCCCTTTCCTAACAGAGCAAACAAGTTCAGCTCACCTAGCACTGTGTAGGATTCACCAGCAAAGCGATCCCGGCCACCCCTCGCCGAGGCTCTAGGGCTGTTAGTGGATCTCTTCGGAGATGCTGTGCTGCTTCTAAAGGAGAGATCAACCACTCAAAACTTGGACACAGCCACAGAAATGCACACTCAGGTGTCCCCGAGTCCATCAGGTGCAAGAGACACACACAAACACTCTTGAAACGCATTAGTTGATGCCTCTAACAGCATGCATGCACAATGGCTGAGAGGGAAGAGGTGACAGAAGAAAACATACAGAATGTTGTAAAAAACAAAAGTTCAGAGGCAGCTGAGAACAGAAACGGGGGGGAAAAAAGCAGATGTGTGGCACATGGTTTGAATGAAACACTTCAGGATGGAGAATATTCTAATGAGCAATCATTTGCATAAAATAATTATTTTAACCTAATGAGGTTTTCAAACATTTTTTTTAACCTCGGTTAGGCCCCCAGAAATAATTATCAATAATTTAACCATTAAACTGAGTAAGGGCTACTTGCAATATTCCTCAGTAGACAGAGAATCACATCTGATTACTACTTTAAAGGCAATCAATAGCAAAGAATTCTAACTTCTCAGAAATAGCTGTAAGTTTACAGCTTAATTTGATAAAAACCCAAAGTACAAAGCCAGTCTCTGAAATACACTTGAGAAGTAATTTTCAATTTCTCATCCTCTGGAGTCTATGACATATTAGCCTTGGAAGAAATACCACCGATAGAAGAGTTTTCTATCCATCTTCTCCTTCAGCTATGTGGGAAAGCTACTTTTGTGTCTATTAATACAGTGAAGTTCAGCTTGTTTTCTTTCCAATTAATTCATTCTTCTCAAAATCCATTCCAGAAAGGGTTAGGACATGTCCCTTTTTCCTAATACCATCACGAAAATGAAGTCACATGGGAATCAAAAGCTAAGTGATACTAAGCTGCCAGATGTAAAGATAATAAAATCTAGTTCATGACCAAGTTTGTTTTATTTTGTTTACAGAAGTCTACAAAAAAAAAATTACTCATGAAAAAGCTGTTTACTTGAGCATCACTATTTAACAGGTAACAGAAGACAAATATGCTTCCAAATTGCTCACAAGAGACACAGGAAGGGGGTAAGTATATATTGTGCAGGTGCACCACATCAAGTGCTTTTGGATTTTGTAAATATGGGGGATGCTGCAATTTACTTACCAAAGGAAAAAGTTAGCAAGTGATAGCATGGAAAAAAAAAAAAAAAAGCAAAGCCAAGAATTAAAGCATAATTTCAGAGGGAGGCACTCTGCAGATTCCATCCTGCTTCATATGCATCAGATATCATCCACTCACATTCTCAACAAATGCTGTTGAAGATTTTCTATTAAATCCAGTACAAATGGGCTATGCAGAAAGCAATGTAGCAATGTGGCCATTTAGAGAATCACACTAAGAAAAATGCAGCACTTTGCTAGAATTTTCTCAACGTTAAGAAAGCATTAAAAGCTTCTTGGTATCATTTACTTTGTTCAAGTCTGTAAATGGCCACTGCGTGTGCTTTGTCCTCTCAAAATTTAATAGCCTTTATCAGGTCAGAAAATTACATTGACTATTTGACATAAAAGCTTCAAAAAACAGTTGCTCAGGCTTTTTTTCTTCCACAGTGCTTACATCTCCCTTTCAATGGAAGGCAGCAAATTTCATAGCAGAAAGTCAGTTTCCTGCCCGTTTTCCATTAGAGCACAGTCCTTATTAGCCAGCAACTGGCATATATCTTCCAATACTCAGTGGCCAGATATTCTTGTCTCATGGTTTAGGATTGTTGCCTACAGCACTGCAATTAGTCCCCATTTCCTCATCCATTTCAGAATATACTCCACACAGAATACATCCACACAGGATGTATTCTCTTCTGGAGAAGAAAGGTCAAGGAAGGAGATCAAAAATCGAGAGACTTTTTTCTGGTCTAAAATGAAAGATAATAAAGAATTTAGTTGCCACTGTGTATTTCTGACTCTTAAAATTGCACATTTTTTGTTCAAAGTAACTATACTTCAATTATTTTTCCCCCATCTCCAAATTTCCCCTCTAACACAGACATCTCACAGACGTTTTTAGGCGGGAAAAAAAGTCTCCTACAAGAGCAGAACTCACCTAAATCCCCTGCTAATAAAGGTCAGTCTGAGATGCACAATTGAACATATGACCATGTCCTTCTACCGAAGAAGAGCCAAGAACTAGGAAGCTCTCTACTGACAGCTACAAAGAGAGACCAGGAGTAACATCCCCTGAGCTGAGCAAGTAGGAGCATCTCCAAGATATTTTCATAAATTAGTTTGGCACAAGTTGTTATAATTTGTGTAGCAGACCAATTGAAACTGAATGGCTTTGAACACTTATTTTGCTTTTTATGTAAGCTTTTCTTTACTTCTGATTTCGAATTAGAGACAGGTCCACCTGATAGATGAATACAGGGGAGTAAAACCCGTAAAAAATTAGGATCCTGGGTATTTCTTTTGGTCCCACAACTTCTAGATGAGCAAAACAGAGCAAGAGATCAAAAACGGGAAAAGTAATTTCTCAAAAAGGTGTTTCACTAGAAAAATAAGGAAAAAATGTGACACTAAAAAACTACAACTGCACAAAGAATAGGAGAATATTTTACCTACCTTTACATAGCTAAAAAAAAGAAAAAGAAAGGATTTCTCATTCAAACAATTGGTCTGCAATTGGAATGGCCATGAAGCTTTTAACATATGCTTCATCCTCTTCAATCATGTAAAAACACTTCTTACCCTTTGTCTAGTAGCAGCTACAGCACAAGTTCAAAAGCAAAGAAGTTTTTGAGATGAAAATAATTTTTTGTTCTTATTTTTGAAAGTTTTCAGAAAGGAGATCTTTACCATATTTGTAAAAAATGTACCAAAAGGTTAAGAAAACATCAATATGTCTGTAAATAACAGGGATCTTTGGATCAATACTAAAATACATGATGCCCTTCCAACCACTGCAAATCAGGTTTCATACACATTAGAGTGAATCCTTCCAGAAAGACTCTTCCAGTCTTCCAGTCAGTAGAGAATATATACATAATCTCTACGAATCCGAATTAAACTGCAAAATAACTTCTAAATGCACATATGCACTGCCACTGATAAAGGCTATTAGATTTGTTTCTCATGACATCAAGCAAAGGAAAGTAGCACAGATTCCCAACAAAACTAGGTGCTAGATCCTAGGATTAAGAGGTATATTATCACCTTCTATTGCTCTTCAGCAGAGGATTCTGGCCACTGTCGACAGAAATAAGTAGTCATTAAAGAACTGTTCTATTACTACAGTAAACTATCCCCATTTTAAAAAATGCTAATAGAAGTTATTCTATCATGCTTCTGGCAATATATGCCTGTGTAGAATGCATTTGTTCATAATTTATCTCAAATTGTGAATATGGAAAACCAATAAACCGTGGCTGAGGGAGTAGCCAGCTGTGTGTAGTCTTTACCACAGAGTATCCCCAAAACCCAAGAGGTGAGGTACCCTTGGAGCAGGGCCATGGCTTCTGTACAGATCCAGCTGAACACCAGGCTAACAGCAATCCAGGTGAGAGAAATCCACACAGCAGGACAGGCTGAGGGACACTCAAGGGAAGAACAGCTCTGCCGAACAGCCACTGAGAGTTTGGGAAGCAGAAGGTGACAACAACAGTGCCCTGTGCCCTCGTGGCAGAGGTGGACAGCCACACCCAGCCTGTAGCCCCAACACAAGTTGGGGAGCCCAAGGCAAGTGACTTCTCCTTTCCTTTTGGCAGCTGTCAGACTGACCCCGAAGCCCTCCTGTACCCAGGTCTGGACTCCTCAGATTTACACCCTGACATACCAGACATACCATGTCCAAGTCTGTGGAGAGCCAACATCACAGTTAAGGGTCTGGGGCACAGAAAGACAATTGGGTTTGCTCACTCTGAAGAGGACAAGAACCAACTGCTGTCTTTAATAAGGTAGCAGGAAAGGGAGCAGAGAAGATCAAACCAGGCTGTCCTCACAGGGACACTCCTCACTGATGGCTGAGAAGCACCTGGAGTTACTGCACCACAGGGAATTCCAGTCAGGTACCAGGATATTCCTCCCCTCCCATAACAGTGGCCTGAACAGAGGGCTAGCAAGTTAACACATTCTTCGTCCTTGGATATATTCAAGGCTCAGAGCGGACAAAGATAAACATTCTTCCAACTGTGTTTATCCAGCGACTCAGAATAGCAGACATCTAACAATTTACCAAGAGCTATGCTGAAGTTAAGTGCTTTTTCCGGATGAAAGCAGTATGTTTAGAGCTGCCACATCCACAAGTTATGTTTCATTATCCATTACTTTTTGCTGTCTGTTTTGTTTTATTACTATCTTTTCCCCTCCAATGAGGGTTTGAGATAAATTCAGAGACCACCTATATATAGCACCAATTTTATTTAACATTTTCTTTCTCAAAAGGGCAACTCCTTCCTTATTTTTATAGTGGAAATGCTGCCTATTCACCAGAACTGACCTGCAACACCAGTAAACACAGAATTACATCGGCTGCCTGTTCACATTTACCTTATCTACAGTCCTGGCATTACGTGGCAAGGTTTTGGTACCAGGAGAAGGAGAAACCAGAGAGCAGGTGGGTGGGCACCTGGTGTGTTGCCAAGGTCAGTCCACCACACCTACAGTTTAGCTCAGTATACTGAATGATACCTTAAAAAAATGCATTTTTAAAATAAATATTATTTAACAACTATGACATAATTCTTGCCCCTGCATCAGTGTGACAGAGGAAGGAAAATCAAAAAAATTAAATTTTTCCACAGAAACATTTCTGAATGAAAATTCCTTTCATATCCCACTGTCCCTAAGTGCTTGAATTCCCCCTGCCCTCTTCCTTTAACTGCCAAATGACATATGCCAGACACTTATAAAACAGAGTTCTTACCTGTTTTTATTTTCCTTCCCTTTTATTTTTTCTTGGCCTTTGCCTCCAGTGGGATCCCATTCAACATAAGTGTCTTCAACCTTCAAGTTCAGATGAGATGAAGTACTGTCCAAACTGAATACAAATGCTAGTCAAGACAAAATAGAAAACAGTGTCATGGTTACTCACAGGAAATGAGAGAAGCAGTAGTAAAATTGTCACAGTTTTACTGAGCATAATGGAAACACCAGCTTTTCAGTCAGACTTGGAATCAAAAACACTAGTACAACAGGCTGAATTTCCCAAATATATTGACAAACTGTTCTATAAATGTTCTAATACTATCAGATATTACAATCTGACCCTAAAAGACTGTATATTTGAGATTTTTAAGAGTTTGGAGCTCAAAAATGCACAAGCGTAAACAACAGTCAGGTTAAGCTGGAGGAAACTGATTTTCTGAGTTGATCATTAAAGAACCTGAACTAAGTGCTCACCCAGGAATAATGACAATAATATGGGAAGCATGGTAACTGCCCAGACAATCAAAACAAGAATTACTTTTCTGGTACCAGAGTAGGGAATTATGTAGCTATTAAACAGATACCGTATCTCTGACAATGACTGTTGCTTAAAAGTATTCAAATAATTACAGAAAAGTTACCAGAATGCCTGTCAGCTCATTCAAATAGCATATAGCTTTACTCTTATGAAAAAACATGCAAAAGGAACAGAATTTAAACTTGTATACATTTATATAGTTAATACCAGTCATTTTGCCCTTTACACCAGACTTTGATGTACATCAAACCTCAGGATCACTCTCTCACCTTAATAGCTAAGATTTGTGTTCTGTCACAAAACATCCCTTCCAAGAAATTTCTCTCAGTACATTTACAAAATGAAGTTAGGAAGCCATTCTAACAATTCTCAGATCAACTCACTTCTAACACCATGACTACACATCTCCAGCAATTTGAAGCTGCCAACTTTTTAAATGTTGACAGTGATTAGAAACTGCAGCTACAAAGTCAAGAAAACCCTTTCCAGCACCTTCCACCTTCTAGCTACAGAATGCCGTGTCTGCCACTAATAACAGGATAATCACACCAACTGTTTAGATGCCCAAAGAGTCATCCACAACATTCATCCATCTTCTTGCTGTATGTTGGCATCATGCAGCAGCACATGGGTCTGTCACTCTACAGTTCAAAGCAACCAACGCCAACCTTTTGGAGAAACTGAACATTAACTGCCCCATTTTTAAAGGTCTGAATGCCAAAAGGGTAGCTTTGTGCCATTAAGCTTCTTAATTCTTTACAGTTGTTTCCCTTTCCACTCAGGAAGTCTTTCAGCAGGGCTCATGCAGAAGCAGACTGAACATAACAGGCTCATGTATGAAGGCAGAGAAGTTTAAGGATTTTCACCACAGAGAAGGTTTAAGAGTTTTTAAAATTTTACCTTTGGTTTCCAGAGTCACAGGATCGGAGTATTCACCTGCCACAGCTTTGTTGCAAGCTTGTACTCTAAGGTTCATGTATTTTGTATCAAATTTCAGACCTACAAAGTGAATGTTTACAAATTTGAAATTGTGTTGATTACTGACAACTCCTACACGACTAAGATCTATCCCCTTGCAGCTGTCTTTTATTCATCTCAATCTGCAAAAAAATGCTTGAATACTGGTGTGAACTTTATTTAACACACAATTTTGATAAAGCCTCAAAGTAAAAATAAAAGACAGAACTACTATTGTACAAAGCACCCAAGACTGATGTGAAATAATGGCAGCTTCATTACATGCTGAAAAATGGGCATCTTGCATAATTTCTTAGCATAAAGACTAATATCAATATTCTTGGGTTTGAAGTATAAAAAAACCTTTACCTGATAATGTGTATTGAGTAGCTTTAATGTAGTCAACCACCTCCCAGTGCTGTTCCCCTTTTATTCGAGGGAGCCCATCAAAGTTGGTTTTCCTATACTCCAGCACAAAATGATCAATTCTACTGTCTTCCTCAGGCATTCTCCACGATATTGTTATGCAGTTGTCAGCGACCAGACATGCTGCTACGTCTATCTCTGGAGCTTTAGGGACTACAGAAAGACAAGCACACAGGTCAGTCTGAAGAAGACAAGACTAGAGTAGAGTGGACTTGCAATTATGAACCTACATTTGGAATAAACACCACACAGGAAGAGCAAGAAGCAAACTTCTGTTCCTATGTTTGTGGAAGGTAAGTTCAGCTGCACCCCTCAAACAGCATCACTTATATTTATTTCCATCACTAGACACGAATATTTTCCACTAGCTTTTCTTCAGTTACCCAGTTTTCTTTTCACCCCTTTGTCTTAAAAGGAAAGGGCAACAGTTCCTAAGGTCCACTAAACACTGAAGTTTTGTTTGTAAGCAACAGAATTCTACTTCCATGAGATCAAAGAGCACTTCAATCTATGGAAAAAAAAAATCTGAAAAAGAAGGCATTTACATACTATTTGAAGAGTCTAAAGGACATGCAAGGAAAACTTTTGTTGTAGGAAATTAGAAAGAAGTTTTATTGTTTTCTGTTTGAGCTTTTGGTGCCTGAGTAATTTGAAAGCATGGCACTACAGTATAAAAAGCAAGACTGATACCCAGACAGTCTCCTGTTTACAAATCAGAGGCCCAATTTAAATTCCCATATATTTGACAAGGAAAAATGTATAAGAAGGATCATACAAAATAATACCTTTATCTAGAAGAAAAGCTTTGTTCACGCTTGCTATTAGATCTTTACACTCCCATTAAACAGGTGCACTGTGAAATGTAGGGCAGTGACTGACATCCAGAGTCCAAGACTAGAAGGTGAATTTCTGCCTGGACACTGCCAGCTGACCACTAGGAATAACACTGGTCATTTACTACACCTGCTACCCCATACTGTATCTGCAACACACAGGGCCGAAATGAAAACTGATGCTGCCAAGTCCTTAACAGATTTGGATTCATGACCTAGAGATGAAACAACTTTACATCCCTGCCAGCAGCATTCTTGTCAATATATCCTCAGTAACAGCCAAGGGCAAAGTGTTTTAAATAGGAAAGCAATAGCATTAAAAAGGCATGAAAGATACACACTGGTCTAATGCACCCAAGTTTACTGTCAAACAGATAGATTACAATAGATAGATTAATACACATTTTGTAATATGGTAGTATCATTGTACTAGTAGACTGTCCCTCTCCTGTATTTCAGACCATTTCACCACTCGTAAGCAATGTGTAAGTTTACAGTTCCACATGTAACACTCCTGCACATGAGCAGGACTATGGGGTGTCACTCAGGCTCAAGCTGGCATGGACAGTCTTAAGAAACCTCAGGTAAATTCACAGAGTTCAGAGGAACTGACAACTCATGAAAAAACATGGTCCAGAAGACTCACTCACTTCTGAGATCAATACTGTTTTCCAAAATGCTGTCTTGTGTTGAAATTAGCATGATAAAACTAGAAAACTCTCATCCCCAAGGTATTCAATTTAACATACAACGAGTAAGAATGAGTTTAGGCACTCTGAAAAATTTGCTTAACAGTGTGCAAGAGGAACAATTTTCTTTAGTTTGGTCGGTTTCAATATAGCAAGCTGTTCAGGTAGCAACAGATTAAACTCACTGGATACAGTTTTTACCTGGCAAAAACTTCACAGCTTGGAGCATGCGCTTTTCCAGGGCGAAGTCCACCATCATATGAGTCATACTGTCACTAACTTTTGGTTTCAGAGAGAGGCGGAATGCTGAAGCCACCGTGACACTAAAGCCAAAAAGCAGCATTAGCAAATGTATTTCACATTGTCAAGCCCTATATCCCATTTTCCAAAACAGCAATCAGACAATCTGTGTCACTGACGTCAAACTACCGATCAAAGATTAGAACATTTTTCTAACACAACTGTTTACCATTTAGCACACTCAAAATAGAAAGTTTTGCTAAGGTGACTGTCTCAGAGAAATGCTGTGAGCTACCAGCTGTTCCATATTACTAAGCAAATAAATACTAATACAGTGACTACAGATGAGTTTAAGACTTTTTACTAGTGACAAAATTTCCATAATTTCACATAAATTCAGCAAGTATGAAAAGTCTGAAGTAGTGTAGACTCACGATCAGGTTTAAGCATTTCTAAACAGCAATTAACAAGCTGACTATGCTGATTTTATATCTATCCTTATCAAAGGATGAAGAGTTTTTTCAAGGTGCAGATTAGAAGATGCAAGCACCAGGCCAGTTCTGTAAGATATATTGAACACTAAAGAACACTAAGGAATGCAGAGTCCTGCAGCTGGGCAGGAATAACCACAAGCACCAGCACAGGCCAGGGTGATCTGCTGGCAAACAGCTCTGCAGAGAAGGTCCTGGGGGACAAACAGCTGTCCCTGAGCCAGCAGAGTGTCCTGGGGACAAGAAGGCCAATGGGATCCTGGAGTGCACTTGGAAGGCCATTGCTGGGAGGTCAGGGAGGGATCCTGCCCCTCTGCCCAGCCCTGGAAGGCATCTCTGCAGTGCCCAGCTCTGGGCTCCTCAGGGCAGGAGGGACACACAACCCCTGGAGCTGGTTCAGCAAAGGCTATGGAGGTGAGGAAGGGCCTGGAGCATCTCTCTCATGAGGAAAGGCTGAGGGAGCTGGGGCTGTCCAGCCTGGAGACGAGCCCCAGTTGAGAGGGATCCTCATCCCTATCTGTCCCTGTGTGTCCCCGTGTGTCCCCGTGTGCAGGGAAGGTCAGAGCAGGGCCCAGGCTCTGCTCCGGGACCCAGCAATGGCACCAGAGCCACAGGCAGGGACTGAGCCCAGGGACTTCCACCTGAACATGAGGAAGAACTTCTTCCTTGTGCAGTGACCATGTGTCCTGGTCCACCATGCACTGAACACGTTACCCAGAGAGGCTGGGGAGTTTCTCTCACTGGAGATATTCCAGAGCCTGGACACAATCCCGTGCCCTGTGCTCTGGGATGACCCTGCTGCAGCCGGGAGGTGGGACCAGATGATCCATGAGCTCCCTTCCAACCTGACCCATCCTGGCATTCTGTGAAGCACAGCTCCCATTTCCACTCCTGAAATCTTAGCTGAATACTGTTATGAACACTCCCAAGCCATTTTTGTACTTCAACTACACCACCAAAAAAAAAAAAAACCCTAAGGCTCTCACATAATTTTCTAACTCCCTCTAGGCAGGCCAAGCAGCAGATTTTGAATAACATCGATTCATAGATCACAACTCCTTTAAAAAGGGTTCTCAACTACAAAGTAATATATATGCCACAAAAGTCAGCTGCCAAGACCTGAATCCTGAATTTTACACCCACTGATGGGTGGCACTTTTAAAACACCTAATGCATATCCCTCCCTGCACTCCAGCAATATGCAAGAAATTGTATACTAACCACAGATATATCAAAGAACACTGAAAAACAAAAAAAATCCAGTAGTGGGGAAGGAGGAGGAAATGCAAATTTTAATATTAAAGATATATGCAGGTCAGGAGTCGTGAGCTCTGCAATTTTGGGATTACTGCTATTATGAGACTGAGCTGAACGCCATGGAAGACAATTCAGTTGATTTCCCAAGACAGAGCTCATGTTCTGAAATTCAGTATGGGCTGCCTAGCACATCAGTGTTCAGCCAGATGGGTAGAGAAAATCCCTCCTTAAGGAAGACTAATCCTCTGATTAGCAGCAAGAGAACACCAGGGAACAGTGGGCTTCAGACAGCTTTTTAACTTCTGCTCAGAAACCAGTCTTGGACAGAGAACCACGAAGGATGTGGTGATAATTTCAAGTAACCAGAAGAGGATGCTTATTACTGACAGAAAGTATTAGAGTCCCATCACTGACACTATCCACTCTCCCTCTGACCTGTTAAGGATACTAAATCTTTACCTTTGGAAAAGCAAAAATTAATACAACTCTAACAATTACTCATTTTGCACAGAAGTTCAGAGAATTTAGTAAATCAGAGAATTCACTGAAGGACTTGTAAATTTAAACCCAACCTATTTCGTCCACAAAGGCAACAACATCCTTGAGCTGCTTCTCAAAATATTATGTACATCACAGAAGGTTTTCTGAACCAGAAGGCCATACTCTTGAAATAGAGTTAACATTCTTCAAGTAATGAAAAATAGCCTTAGTATTGATTTTGAAACAGCAAAGTTTTACTTTTTAAACAATTGTTCAATAAAAAGCTACCAGACATAATAATTTCATGATCACAAGTGTCACCAGAAGTATTTAAACAGCTATGAGACTTTTTTATATTCTGCAGGAAAATTAGGTAGCAAAAGTCTTCAAATGCTTGAAAAACAAAAAACCAACAAGATTCTCTCAACTCAAAGGGGCAGAGTCAGCTTGACACAGCATTAAATTTCAGCCATGAAGTATTAATAAGCTTATTAACAGTAATAATTATATACATATATATTCAAAGACATAATAATTACAGCAGCAGCTGATGCAGAGCTCCACTTCCCTGCATCAAAAACATCTTTTTATTTAAAGTTATGAAAAGCCAGTAAAAACCCTACATGAGCAGCACAGAAATTTTTAGTTTCCACTCAGAAGTTGGGATAACTAACATTTTAGAAAAGAGTCCATGAATTTGATTAAAGCTGACTATGGCCCTTTCACAGTAAATGCATTTTCAAGGATAAGATTAATGCAAAGACACAAAAGTGATAGATTTTGTACTGTACCTATCTTTGATCTGTCTGGCAGCCTTGATGCATGTCAGGGAGAAGAGAGAGAAAGTAGTTAGTATCTCCATGCAAGTACCAATGGCAGCAACATGCAGGAAGGCCAAGAACAATCTCTACTGCATTGCTCAGATTTGAAGTTCAAAACGAGTTTAACATTTTCCCCAAAAATAAACTGTCCTGTGAAGCATGTTAATAGCATGGGTTAGCACAGCAACACTGTAACATCTGGGGGAAAAAAACAACAAACCTGAGTTCCAGAACCACACCAAACCAACTCCAAATTACTCAACTTTCTGAGTGTGACTTGGTATTTTCAGATTTTCCTGAATCAGTTAGAGTTACTCTCCATGGGTTTTTAAAAGAGCTACAGGACCAAGCCAACAACATTTAACTGCCATGGTATTTTCTGTGAAACTAAGAAGTGCTTATTAGTGGCATATAACCATGCCTGACTTGCTCAACACTACACACCACAGGATGAATGCCCTGATAAATAAGAAAAAAATAGTACTTATTCTAACTTTTCCTCTGAAAGTTAGGAAGTGTTGTTGGAAAAGTATAATAGAAGACTCTGTATCTAAGCATTCAAAAATGACAGCAAGTAGTTATTCTCAAATAATAACGCTGGAGCAGATGTAGAAGTGATGACATTTAAAAGATAAACATCAACTGGTATGTGGAAAGAAAAGTCTCTCTCCTTCACCAAAAGGAGCTGCAAACCTAAGCCAAAATATTATTGTGGAAGTAGTGAGGGCTTGGCTGTGTCTGTTGAAGTCTTCCTTCAAAACTGCTCCTTGATCCAGCTGCTCATTCAGCTGAATTATTTTCCCTCTCAAAGAGAAAATAATCATCAGGCAGCTTCCCAGTTGAACTCAAAAGTGGAGAGCTCCCCAATTTTTCACTAAATACAAATCACACTGAAAAAAATAAATAGGAAATCAGGCTGTCCCTGCTATAAAACCGATTACATATTCCTTAAGTGGGAAGCAGAAAAAGACCCAAGCCAAGTGTTTAGAAGTAATTTAGCTTAAGAGGTAGCTTTGGTTTTCCTCAAAACAAAGTTATTGTAGGAACTACTGACTGATTTTCCTACATGACATAAAACAGAGATACTTCCCAACAAAATCCTTTCGTTTAATCTGCATGCCTTGTGAAATATGAGGTAGCCAGGACTCAACATCTTCTGAAGGACAGTCCCAGCTTAACTTCACTGACTTTAGTTTGTTTCCAGGACAGAGAAGGATCAGCCCATCCCAGAGGAGCTGCCTAGCAGTGTCTGATCACATCCTACCTAAACACTGAACCCTCCTGCAATTTTTCACTCGTGTTCTTTTGACATCCAGGTAAAACAACTCCAAGAATAAACTCAAAAAAAAAAAAAAAAGGTAGGGAAAATAATTAAAATAATCTTAAGCTAGGTGCTCCTGAGCTGATTTACTGGAGTATCCAAAGAAAATTTGTCAATATACAAGAGTCAGGGCTGGAGCTACCCCTTCAGGACCACTTGCTATTCCTGCCTAACAGAATTAGCTGCCTTATAGCCAAGGCAATATTACCTTAAAATGTCATCCCCAAATGCACAAGTGTAATACCAGTATCAAATCCTACATATTACAGCTCACTGAATTGGATTTCAGTATCTTAATCTTCAGACTCCAAATCTGAAGACGTTTCCCCCCAGCAAATGCTCAGACAGCTTTCCTTGGTGTATTTGATTGGGGAAAAAAGCATTAGGGAGATCTGAAATAGAACAACTTCCAAGAAAGTCAAAGCTGCATTTTGCAGAGTTCAAGAGCCAACTTAATTTTTTGCTACAAGGCAGAAAGCACAACTCCAGCTGAAGAAAAACACTGCTTAGGAATTGCTGCTCTTTGAGGCAAATAAATCAAAGCTGACACCCAGAAAACATGACAGCACACAAACATGCAGCCAAAGGTAAAACTGACACAGGAAGAGAGCCTTCCCCCTTGCTCTTTTAAACTGATTTGTGCCCTTCTCCTGTTAAAATGTGGAGAGAAAAAAAGTAATTTGGCCTTGGATTTGGTGCGGCTGATCCCACTCCTACCACCGGATTACTGTAGCAAGCATTAGTGTACTGATTCAGTGGATATGTGGAACTGTTTCCTTAATTTACAAGTATATTCTTCCAGTTAGATACATGTTACTTCACCCTCCCTTTCTGGGGTCATCCATGAAAGTTTGATTAACAGTGACAGTTGTCCAGCAGAAGGCATTGTATTCCCTCCCCATCACCCTAAATAAGAAAAAGCCAACCTGTTTTATCAGAAATTGCATAAAACTTCAGGACTACAATGTTTAACTTGGCTTTTCAGCTGGGCAATAACTGCATTTTTAATATGCCTGTCTATCCTCACTCTAAGTACACCTGGTAAGGTTGCAATGTCCAGGAGAGTAATGCAAAGAGTATTTCAAATCGAGAGAGATGTCAACACCTGCCTCACACACATCTAGTGAATGTTTTCTACCTCTAAGAGCTCCACAGGGTTCTTTATGTCCAGTGACTGCACAGCAAGTTCCAGCAGCTCTTCTGAGCCTTCCAGAGCACGGCTGCACTGGCTCAGCTGATCCTAGAGCAAAACCAGAAAGAATAATGTGATGTACTCCCATTAAAACAGAGCAGTTTGTGAGGCACCAGTCCTAGGAACTACATGGATTTGTTATGCATTTGTGACAACTTATTCCCTTATATAACCAAGGCCTCTGACAGTGCCCTAACTTCTCTGTGTTTGACAAGTGCACAGTGATACTTGGCACATCCCACAACTCCAAGGGGGGAAAAACTGACGTCTGACTTAAAAGCCAGATTTAATTTCAACACCCTGCTTCCCCCAGATTCAGGGTTTCAGAAAGCAGAGAAATAAATACTTATATTCATGTGCACTACAATTTCTATTTACGGGACTGCACTTCATCACTGAATGACACTGTGGCAATAGCCTTGAAAAAGGCAGTGACTTTACCAGCTCTGGAACTGTGACAAGACAATCCTGAAAATCAATACTGCTGTGTAACAAATAGGAATAGCATAACAAGAACAGAGGAAGTTTAAAAATGCTTCTGTGCAGCTGCAAAATTTTTCTGGAGTTATTTATTTACCTTCAGAGCTTGAATTTTACGAGCCTCTTCTTGCTGAATAGTGTTGGCCATGCTCCCCTTCATCTCATGCAGCACAGAATACAGACCATCAAATTCCTCATCTAGCTCGCTGATGGCATTAGAAGAGTTTACCTGAGAGGAGAATTGAAAATGCTGTTTACACTGGAAACAATGCAAAGAAGTTGAAAGTCACATAATTCCCCACACATGTTTTGCCATGACCACTTGTAGCTTGTGACTGTTTCTCAGCTTATCAAAAAAGGAAAAAATATTAGGAATGATCAAACAGTCTCCTAAGCAGACTCTACATCAAGACACTGAATGCTGCAATGTGTGAAAATTCCATGATACTCAAACTTGCACAAATCCAGCACACTTGGCAACTTTGGTCCTGCCAAAAGCCTCGATTTTCCTCACACAATTGTACATGGATTGCTAGATGTTTGGAAGGAGGAAGTTACTCAGTTCCAAATAAAAATATTTCATTTGATGCTAAAAACTGCACTCAAGAAGGCAATTTAAAGATCTGCTGGATAATCTCTATATCTGCAGCCAATCTGCTCAGCTTTGGGATGAAACTACTTGTGACTGATTGACAGGCAGAAGGAACCTAAACCTCATCCTCATGCAGATGCTCTAACGACATCATCTAACTCTAGGCTTGAGCCCAACAATTTGAAACTGCTGAAAAGAGAAAGACTAAAGAATTCTCTCAAGTATCGTTTTTCAGTCCACCAAACAGAGCAGCAGTCTGAAAATACAGGTTATTTCCCACTAACTGGAGTCTCAGATCTTGCATCAGATAAAGGTTCTTTCCCACACAAAGTTCTACAAAACCTCTTCACACAAAAGGCAAGACCACCACACCTGTCATCTAGAGGCAGACCTAAAATATAAAACGTTTTTCTATCTAGTTCCAGCATGATGTATTTTGAGCTGGATTCTTATAGCCCATGCTTTAGACACTACTACTTTTTGTTTGAGACTAACAAAAGTGTCCCCCTCTCAGATTCAAGCCATGAACCTAAAATAAATACCTGAACATTTGATATTGTATGGTTCAGCATGTCAATGAAGTTGTGAATTTCATCATTTTTGTTCACTAGAGTACTGACAATCCTTTGCAGAGTCTCCTAGAATTACAAAAACAAGCAAGAGAAGTTGTAAAAAAATGATCTTGCAATTTGTTTTCAAATCATCACCATTTCAACATCCATGAAAATTCATCACAGACATTGCAGCTGCAACAAATTCAGTTCTGACGGGATCAGGAAAAGCATTTTCCCAGGACAGAGAAAGAATATTAAACCTCTAGGAAGCATTCCACCAAATTAAAGATCTCCAGGTGTTAGTTTGAGAGAAATCAAGAACCTGCTTTAAGATACCCCACTGTTTCACACGTTTTTCTACATGAGTCACCTTCAGCAAAATACCCAGTGGCACCACAGCTTCTCCAGATGATAAAGCTGGTGCTTGTGCAGCCAGAGAACTAATAAAGAAAATTTTAAAAGCTGGTAAAAGGAAACCCAGAAGAAAAACTGAGATTTCCTCACATCAAAGGAAGCTAGTGAGAAATAGCCACGCTGACAGTTTATTCTATATGCAGAATAAATCTGTAAAAGTGATTTGTAAACATATTCCACAAGGGGGAAAATATTTGGGTGAGTAATTTCTATATTCCAATTAAAAGTGACCTCAAAGAGGAAAGCTTACTGACAATTGATAAAGAGAAACATGGTTATTCATGATATGCATCCCAGCTGTTCAAAAAGCAGTAGATTCAGCTTACAAAACACATACCAAGCCAGCAAAAGTATTAAAATACATCAAAACTTATTTCAAATTAAGTAAGACCACCAAATCTAATTTTGTTCAGCAGCTAGTCACGTAGTCTAAGAATTTGACAAACACACATTAATGTTTGATACTTAATTTTAAGTCAAGTTTTATCAATCAAGAATTTTAAGTAAAGACCTAGAGTTTCAATTGCTCATTCTAATATTGTTACTTGATAAATTTTAGGAAATCAAGGCAATGAGAGATAATAAAATACATCTTGGAAACAGCCAGACCACCAAAGTGATGTTGCAGAAGTCTCTCCCAGAAGCAATTTCTTAATAACCACGTACTACCTAGATCACATTTGTTTGCTAAAAAGCAAGAAAAATGTTTTTATCCTTTCACAACACCCACAGTGAACCTCAACACTAAACCAGATCTAAAGAACCTCTCCACTAGTCCCAAGCTGGGCTCCTTTCTTTTTCTTTTGACCCCTTCCCAGATAGTTTCCAACAAATCTGCAACAAGTTATTTAGGGGTACTCCAGCTCCCTGCCTGTTTAATAGTGTCATACTCAGGAAGTTAAACCATGAGTAGAAAGAACAAATTTTAGTGGTTTTACCACTTTTTACAGGTGTTGATGGTGTTCCATACAGAGGTAACACAGCAGACAGCAATGACTCAGGTCTGGACTCTGGGGGAACAGAAACAACACCTTGGCTTCTCTGAGAAACAGAGGAAAACAAAATCTTGACCACTTCATTACTGAACCTTCTCCTGGTGAAAAATGAGCACGTTTGAAGGCAATTCTGTACACATCAGAATGCCAGATGAATAGCCATTGTCCAGCCAGCTACTTCTGCATTCACCACTGACCAGAGGCAATTGTTTTCACAGGCCTGATAGTGTGGAGATAAGCTTTAGATCCTATGAGCACAACTGTCAATTTGGATGAACACGGAAAACTCACAATCCTCTTTCAGCACGGATCTTAGGGCTTACTCAGCTGCAACACACGGGGGAAAAGTGTTCTTGTGTGCAGTGCTGAACAGTGCTGCTTGGTTTTATAGCTACATCCTGGTTAAAGCAAAATATCTACATGTGAGGAACATTTAAAAGGCCTTTACACACCAACTGCAAGCCAGCTATAAAACAAGATTTTCACCTAAAGTTACATTTAACTGACTAAATGTGAGTGGGTATGGCTCTTTTTAAGTAAGCTACCAATTTCTCTGTTAAAAAATTCAACCAGGTTTAGTGAAATTTTAATGAGTTTGAATGCCCTTTAAAACAGTGTTTTTCTAAAACACCAATGCACAAGCCACCAGAACAAAAAAGGCAGCTTTTAGGAACCACTGTCTTATTCTACTTTTCAACAAAATTTTCTCATCACTAATATACAATAAATAGATTTTCTTCCAGATATACCATACATGCCAAATTTAAAAACATGCTGCCATGTTGCCATTTCTTCCTTTAAGGAGTATTTCTGGAAATTCAGTGCAATTTCACAGAACAAAGAGTTCTAGAAAAATTACCAATGTAAGCAGCAGATGAGGCCTACATTCTACATTTGCTTATAAAAGAATTTCAATAGCACTAAGCCCAGTAAAGTTTCTTGGTATTTCTGCACTAAAGAAAACTAATTCTATTGCCCACTGATGAATGCAATATTTCATGGAATTCTATTACAAGCAATTTTCTTTGACCTCTATGTGAGGTCAGTTTCAAATGGTTTTTCAAAGCATTACGAAATGTTTATTACAGAGGTAATTTTTGCTTCTTTCAGTGAGTGTCATGCTGCCCTTTCTTTCTGTGTCCTAATCTTACTCTCTGAATCTAATGCACTTTGCTGGGGAAAAAGAAGAAAAAAAGAAACAAACATGCCACTGGAAAAGCAAGAGTGTGGATGAGCGAAGGATGAAGAGTAGAAAAGGACAGGAAAAAGAAAGGGAAGCCCTACAACATGTAGTCTGTAGTCTTGCCAGGTGGATAAAAACAGAATGCCCACCTTTGAATAGTAAGTAACTAACATGACTTGGCACCTCTTGAAGCAGACAGGCACCTCATAAAAACTAAATTTTAATAAATTAAACAATCATGGCACTTCTGCATAAGAAGCAAGTTACAAAGTTGCTCAAGATCATACTGAAGACTCATGAGCTGACTGCATGCAGAACGGTTTCTGAAGCAGCCCTAGGCCTAGGACAAAATCACGAGACATTATAACCTTCATATCCAGATCAAATTTCAAGGAGGACATGTTCACTTAGTTTCCATTAATTTAAACTCCTGCACTTGTCAACACAGTGAAGTTGCCAGAGTTTGGAGAACTTTGTACAGTACAGGTGACACTACCAAATTATTCTACCAAACATTACCAATTTCTCTACCAAATTGGTAGATAAAGTACTGTAAAATACAAGATCTACTGCAGTTTTACTGCTGTATTCAGAACCTCTGGAATTCAAATACCATCAGTGACCCCACTCTGAAACATCCACCTAGAGCACCCATAGCAGGGGCAGCCCCCATTTACTCCTCCTCCAGAGGGAAAAAAGCTCACATAGAGCAGGTAAAGACAGACTGACCCAAATTGACAGAGTTTCTTCCAGAAGCACACTTCTTATGGCATTTCACATCTCACCTTCCAATGCACACTTTCAGAGATATTAGCTGCTTCTGCTATTAGCATAAATAATTTTTATGTAAAATAAGTTACACAGAATTACAGTGTTTTGTGATTTAGGATGTTTGCTTAGGATGAAGACCTGGGTTTGCTGAAGCCTTGGGCTGCCCACTGTTTACTCACAGCAAGGTCTGTTGTGGCGGGGATACAGTTAATTTCCTCAGTAATTTCCAGTAACTCCTACAGTGCTGGGGCTTGGCTTTAGCAAGAGAAAATTGCACTGATCTGTACATTTCAAGCCATTATCAGCACCAAATTACTCAGGCCACACACACAAAAAAGGAAAGCACAGTGTCCACAGAACACAGAAAGAGAAGCCCTTCAGCAACCATGGACTGGAAGCCAAGAGTCTGGGTCACAACTTTTTGTAGGGGAGTATCTGTTCAAGAACGCCCCAGCGCTTGGGTAGGCGCTCCCCGAGGGGTTTGATGGCAAGCGAGGGAAGGAGGAAATTACAGGGCAGCAACCATAGGAGGAAAAAAACCAAAAAAAACAACAAACCACAGCCAAAAAAAAAACCCCAGAAAACCAAACCAGAACAAAAAAGCAGCGAAAAAAATCCCCAACAAAACCCTTTTATGCGTTAGCTCCCTTCAACACTGGATTACATCAATGGCAAACAGAAGGGCTTATGGACGCACCATAATTACTTATGACAGGAATACACAGAGTGAAAGAGCTCTACAACCGCTAGAGCACTTCATTCCAGAACCGCGGAATAGCCAGGGCTGGAAGGGATGAGTCCAACCCCCACGGCAGAGCAGGCTCACAAGGAGCAGGTGACACCGGAACGTCTCCAGAAAGAGACGGCCACATCCAGGAGGAAAGCGGACCCGGGATCCCCCAGAACTCCGCCAGCATCCCTTCCCCGCGCCGCCCCTCTTCCCAGGCCGAGCGCCGGGAATCTCCGGGGAAACGCCCCGCCAGCCTCCCCGAGCGGCCCGCAGCCGCTGCCCCGCAGGGACTCACCCGCTCCTCGTCCATGCCTGCGGGCGCGGTGCGGCAGGGCCGCCGCGATGCGGGGCGCGGGGCGCGGGACGCGGGATACGGGGCGCGCTCCCGGCGCCGCCGCTCCCGCGGGATAAGCGCCCGCGCCGCCCCGCCCCGCCCCGCGCGCACCGGGCCTGCGCGCGCCTGCGCGCCCGCCGCCGCTCTTCGTCCGCAGGTTCGAATCCCGGTCCCGGCTCCGGCCGCGGCCCGGGCCGTGGGCGGCGGGGATCGTGCTGCTCCTTTCGCCCCGAGACGGCATCTCATCGATCCATGTAAATACCTCCAATCCATATGAAAACCTCCAGACTCGTCTTGGTGGTGCCCAGTTGTCGTTGTTGCGGTGGACACAGTACAACTCAGAAGGCTAATATCGGTTTATTACAACAGGCGGATGTCTTTTATACCCTCTACAAAGTTTACGTTTTAGTCATTGGTTGTAATAAATCAACATAACGTTCATTGGTCCAAAACTATCTCTGCCTCTTGTTTTTCACAACAGTTTTATATAAACACTTTTCCCAGCTGCAGATCTTCTTCTTGCTTATCTTCTTTTCTTCTCATCTCCATACCAACCTTGATAAAACTCCTTTCAAAAGTAAACATCCATTAACTGGCTCCTTCCTTACCCAGTGACATAAACTTAACTCCAGGACTTCCACCTCAACTTTTCCACCGCAGGTGACAGGGCACTGACCAGCTCATCCACCAATATTCCTTTGAACTTTCTCTGGCAAGTTGGAGAAGTTGCTTTTGACCTGGGGTCTCCGTGACTGCTGTGTAACAGGACAACACTGAGAGTTTGTGGGTGTTTATTATTTTCATTACTTGTTATTTTCGGTTTAAAAGGAAATTTTAAAAGAGTGGCTGCATCCAACAGTGTATTCTTCATGCCCAAGTACAGCATGGATTTTAAGGGAATGACATAATTGTGCAACCAAAGGAATAATGATGCTTAAGTGCAGGGAATTATTTAGAGGTGAAAGAAGAGACCTAAAGATAATAACAGTGGCATGGAAAAAGCTGTCAAAATTGTGTTCCTGGAGTGATAGCTGTGTGAGAAATTACTGTGCAATGCAATTTACCTGTGCTCAGCACTTGAAACGCTCGAGCTCTAAGTGACCAAGAGCTTTGGAAGTTGCCTAGGAGATTCTCTCACATATTACATATCTATAATGTCATTTTTTTCCCAAACTTTTGTGGAGGCTGCTTCTCTGAAGACATCTAAACCCCATCTGGACATATTCCTGTGTCACCTGCTGTAGATGCCCCTGCATTGGATGGTCCAGTTGGACTTGGGAGCAGAGCCTGACTCCCCCGGCTGTCCCCTCCTGTCAGGGAGTTGTGCAGAGTCACAAGGGCCCCCTGAGCCTCCTTTTCTCCAGGCTGAGCCCCTTTCCAGCTCCCTCAGCCCCTCCTGGGGCTCCAGACCCTTCCCCAGCTCTGTTCCCTTCTCTGAACATTGTTCCATGATGTTTGTGTGAGGTCAGATGTTCTGTGAGGTAGCTCTGCTTTACATCACAGCTCACTAATCCAATCTTAGGAGGTTTGGTTTTTGGTTTTTGGTTGCTTTTTTTTCCAAAGCTGTGGCGTTGGAAAGGAATAGTAGCTTCGTGATGATGGCATTTGGCAGACATGCAGCAACTGGGCTGAAGTGCAGTGTGGTTTCCTGGCAGCTCTTAATGCTGTGCTGGAATTAAAATGCAGCACTTTTGGCATGGACATAGCAATAGGAGCCCACTTCCAGTGTGGAAATCCATCACCATGGGGAGATTTTGTCCCCTGCTAGTGAAGGTGGCGAAGGATGCCTCTCTAAAGTTATCTCTGCCTCTGTGAGTCCCTTCCCACAACAACTGTGCCTTCTCTGTCAGCAGCACTGCACAAATCCAGGGCAAGAGGAAGCAGCAGCGTTGCTCCAGTCTTCCCAGCTCCATCCAGAGACCTCCTGGGATTCCATTCACTGGCACCAGGCTGGGCCTTGCTGCAGCTTGAATAATCATGTTATCTTCCAAGTACTTGATATCTTATTTTTTCCAATAAGTGCCTAAAACCTGGGCTGGCAGTTGTAGTTTCGATTTGCAACCAGTCAGAAGACAAGGAGAGGAAATCATATCTGGTCATGCCATGCCTCAGGCTGTCCAGAGGTGAGGACACTGAGCATGACCATGAGCCCACGAATCAAGATTTTCTCCAAAACTGTTTAGAAACAAAATACTAAAATTCAAAGGGATTTTTCATCTCTTGGCCTGGGAGGCAGCTGGGTCAGAAATAGTGCCTGTGGCCAGACACCCAGGGGTACCAGAACACTGAAACCCTCTTCACTGTATTGGTTAAATTGATTTCTGCAGTTGTAGGTCCACTTCTTAATTCCTGATTGGATTATGTGGGAAGATTCAACCACAAATTCCTTTCTAAACTGCAAATGCAGGGGAAGTGTCGAGTTTTGTGGGTTCCTTTAGTACTCGTGAGCACGAGTCCAGAGGAGGTGATCAGAGGGATGGGGCACATCTCATGCAAGGAAAGGCTGAGAGAATTGGGATTGTTCAGCCTGGAGAGGAGGAGGCTCTGGGAAGACCAGATCCCCACACCTGAAGTAGCCAACAAGAAAGATGGAGAGAGACAATTTACAAGGATTTAGAGTGACAGGGCAAGGGGGGATGGCTCCACACTGGCACAGAGCATGGTTAGATTAATCCCTCTGAGGGGGGTAAGGCCCTGGCACAGATGGTGGTGCTAGAGGGGATAAAGAATGTCTTCAAAGTTAACATTCTTAGTGTATTTTGGGCCAAAATGAAATGTCACAGATAGGAGACCCAAAGGAAACAATGGCAAGAAGTTACAGGAGGAAGAAATACTTCAGGCCTCTAAAACAATAATGGACCAACTTGGGCAACCACAGAATAATACAAGTACAAGTTGCATTCAATCTGTCTCCATGCAGGGTGGTGAATTAGATTAATCTCTTTATAAACTTTTTCTTTGAAACAAAGGTTAGGATTTTAAGGAGGGATTTTTCCCCAGAGCAGTTTTCTTCTGCCACCAAACATTGTGCTTCCTTACACTTAACACCTGAAGCATAAACTAAGAGCCTCACCTGGCCACCTCCTAAAAGCACTTACTATCTTGAAATTCACAAGAAATAGAATATTGACATTCTGTTCTTGCTGCTTCAGTCATAAGATAAGGCTGTGTTTATCTTTTCTTCAAACAACAGCCGGACAGCAGCACTTAGGTTTATTTGCAGTACCAGATAAATCTCTGTAGTGTGAGAGGAGGAGGCAGCAGGTTGTTGCATTTCTGTATGGAAGAAGGCTTGGAAGTAGTTTAAAATGATACAAAAACTGTCTGAGGAACCAAATAACAAGGGAGGAAGAAGGCCTTGATGACACAGTAAATTTCCTTTGTGCTGGCTTACAAGAATGGCTGGACGCTGTGGCAGCTGCTGCAGACATTAGAGCTGCTGATATGCAATTCAGAGTGGCTGTGGCACCAACTAACCCCTCTCCTTGTGCAGCTCCAGGTCACTGTGACTTTGGAAAGGCCTTTTTTTGGGAGTGGTTAAACCAACCCCACAACCATCGACCTGGAGCCCTACTGTTTGTGGGCGTCTAAAAGTGGACAAATCAAGGAGTGAGTCACAAACTGCCTCAGCAGGCTCTTCATTCGTGCAGGCTTTTCTTGATGCATCATTCTTTTCTTCTTTTTCCCGATTTTGTCCCTATTTTGGGAAGGCCAGGAGCCACCAGCACAACCAGCCAGCCAGAGGGAGATCGGTGGAGCAGCAGAGAAGCCTCTGTGTTTAGGGCATGAAATAATCTGAGAACAATAAAGACTTCCCTCTCATCAAACTACCTGAAAATGACTGGGCTGCACAGCAGGGAGTCACTGTGGGTGGACTAAGAGATCATGACAATGCTTGTTTATCACTTCATTAACTTGAAGAACAACAAAGCCTCAGAAGTCACTCTGCTGGTGGCTCGTTGTCTTTGGATGCAATTAATGCAGTGTTTCTATCATAACTCAAGAAAACAAGATTTTTAAAGTTCCCTGCTCCCCACTAAGAGCTTCTGCTGCCTTTCTCAGAGGGTTCTGCTGCACAGCCAGAACAGAGGATTGTGCACAGAGGAAAACAGGCTTTCCCTCAGCTCTCTGAATCCTTCATTGCACTGAAGGAAACACTAAGGTTTTATTTATGTGCACGCAGAGAAGGCTGTGGCTATCAAATCTGCTTTATTGTTTCTACAGTAGGCCCTGAACCTATTTAAAATTGAAATCTGCACACAAGCACAGCTTTGTGATAAGAGCTGTGTGTTATGTATGTATACTTAGGACAGTAGAGCTTTGATTCTTCATGGATTTTTTTAGTAGTCTTCCAGTTAGGAAGGGAGGAAAGTAAAATGTCTTCTGAGACTTGAGCAACTGATTTTTCTCCCCTGGAATCCCCATTAATATCCACTGTCTTTCTAGTTTTATACACATACTGTAATTTTAACCCCAGCTGGCAACCAGCCATCACATGGCCATGCACTCACTGCCCCACTAGCTGGATGGGAGAGAGAATCAGAAGTATAAAAGTGAGAAAACTTGTGGGATGAGACAAAAAAAACCCAAAACAAACCCTGAGATTTTAGTTACTGTTCCCTTAGTGCTGCCTTCATGCCCAGTATAAATGTGGTGTCAAATGAGGGTTTGAATCTTTAAAAATAGTATTTTTATGATTTAAAGCACTGTAATTCAGTGGCAAAGCTGTCTCCAGTGGAACTGCAAGGAGGGAGGGAAAGAGTTTAGTGAGATTGATGTAAAATCCTCAGTCATCACTTAGTACATCATAAATCAGGATAGGTGGGATGAAATATTTTTCTCCTTAAGTCCAGATTCATATGATCAATGTGACAGGAAAAATTGGAGTCTGAATCCTTTAAGAACACATCCTGTACCAGGTAGCAGAGTGTCTGTGCTATCTCTCTCCCCCCTGCTCCCTGCAGCCTTGGGTTCAAACTTTGGCTATTTCTTCTGATGGGAAGCAAAAATAAGAAAAAAATAAAT